GAGCGTCCTCATGTAAGAGCATGCCGTAGTTGTCAGACCATTGACCTCGCATCCCTACAACGCCGGGACGGAGCGATAAGGAAGGTTTTCAGCCTTGGCTACTCGGGGGGGGGGGGTACTTGTGAAAGAACCTGCTTGGCTGCAAGTTTGTTGTACAGGCAATTCCAGATGGATAGCTGCTGTTCCCTGCAGGCTTCGGTGCGTCGCGATGCCGAAATGCCTCCTCCCTGGAACAACAGCACACGGGAGGGAGGAACGAAAAAGCTACGCAAGGGTATACATACATGTATAGTAAAAAAAAATAGTTTTCTCGAGGAGCGATTTTCGCGGGTGCGACTCAAACGCCAGTGTGTCGCAGCCCATTTATCGGTGGTGGTGGGGGTGGGGGGTAACTCAAGAATGTTGACGGTTATGCATATGTCGAAACTTCATATGGTTATTTGGTAAAAAACATCGCGTGTTTTTTTTAACGCGATGTAGGTCAGGTGTGCCCCTCGAGGCTGCACTGCTGTGATGGGAGTACAAAGGTTACAAGGTTAATACCGCTTACATTCATGTTTTGTTTTTCGCCGGGGGTTTGGTCCAAGCGACGGTCAGTATCATCATACACGACGAACACACCAATGGCTGGCAGCACGCTGTCACTGGGGAAGATTGGCTCAGCATGTATGTTTGCCATGAGGAATTTTCGCAAAATGAATGCGATGACAAATGCATGGATGGGGCATTTAACCTCGACATCAAAGAGAGAATGAAACGTCCGTGACAGACGTTGGAGAGGACGTTGTAGCATACCACTATATGCATATATATATGTACCCTTCATGAAAAGTAAGGGGATACTTCTATATCTCCAGGTTGAGCGAGTCATCTTCTGCGAGCACCAATAGACTGTCGTCGCAGCTAATAATCTTTGAGCGACCTCCCGCGTCCGACCAATCTACAGTAGTTGGACATTGTGTTGCGAACTACATGTATGTACGTAGACTTCCCTTAGATATTTGCCACGGCATGCATGCATGCATGGATTGTCGAACGAAGTGCTTGCCGCCTATTTCGACTACTACTACTACATAGTGCGCTTGACTGGAACCGTTCACGGCTGACTAAGGCTCGTTACCTGCTGCGTAGAGGATGGTGATGCAGTTGGGCGACCTCGGGGGCGTTAGAGGTCGCAAATTCAACGAAATAGCTGTCTGTGCTCAACCCTCTTTTTTTGCACTTCCACACTTACTTGCTTACAGAATAACTAAGCTTTCATCCTGCAAGTCGGGATTGATTCAAGAATGGGGGGCAAATCAAATCGTTTTAGGCTCACCGGTAGGTCGCACTACAAGTACTGTTTTCTGTTGCGCCCCCAGCCTATTCGGGGCGGGGAGGACGGGCAATCGGCAATCGGTGACTCTATAGATGTCCATACATCTACGACATCAGGGGTAGCTGCGAAGATACCGAACTGCTTGTAGCAGTGTGTGGCATCATGTACTGTCCGTTGCTTTTTCGTGTCCACTTTCTTTCGTTCATTTTTCATTCTTGTCTTTCATAGTCGTCTTGCCGCCCGGTCAAGACACAGATAGATATCGGATCAGGAGACCACTCAGAACGAACGGTGAAATCATTTACCGATCCACGGCGGTGCACGTCTTGATTTACTTCCCCTCTCCCAACCATCGGCGAGAAGAATTTTTTCAGCAAACCAAAGCAAACAATCCTTTTCCTGGGAGAAACTCTGAAGTCTGCTCAGGAAAAAGCAAGCGCTAAACCTTGTGCTCTACTTCATTATAGGAGCGACTACAGAGTGCCGTGGACGTTAGGCTTACACCTCTTCAAGCCAACATCTCCCCGACCAAGCCAACGGACAACCTCGTAAAAAAAAAACAAGACCGAACTTGTCCACTGGGCGGGGCGACCATTACGCGATGACTACACACACTCATGCAAACAACAGTTTATTTAGAAGAAACACAAAAAAAAAAGTTAGAAGCATACAAACAATCTTCACATCAAAGCCAGGAAATCCAAACTCAGGCTGGGTTCAGACCCCTTGTTTATTGCGAAAGCATCCTTTCTATCTATTGACGGACAGAGACCGCTCACACCCCTTCCACAAACAAAACATGTTCCTCCTTCTTCAACAGTGCTTGGCTTTGCTGGAAAGATCCCGCACGCCGGTCAACTTAAATAACGGTACAGACAAGTCACGCACTACGTGAGAACCCGGTTTGTTTCCAATCACACGGCGGCTGATGTCTATTTACTACAAGACAACAAGAAAAGCGGACCACAGCTTGACAGAGAGGACGAGCGTAAAGACAGACCTCCAAAGACACCGCCTACACATGGCGACACTGCCAAGATATCTCCGTATTACAGAAGACACCACGGCAGTAGCATCATAATATTACGGCATAGAAAAACACACGAAACGGTGTGAAAAACTCTTTTATAGCTGGCTTTAAACGCGCCCAAACGAAACGGACTGTGACATAACACCCCCCCTACAGAACACCAATCAATCGTGTTTGACAGCAGTATAGGGGTGAAACCTCACACACAAATCCGTCGGTGAGTGCATAAAATGCACCATTCTATCTGGGTGTTTGCACAAAAGCAACGAGCACACGACAGACAGATTACATTTTCGACACTTTCGCCGTGGCAACGCTCGAAAACAAGTAGTAGGCGCACCACAAACAGGAACCAAGAAATCCGCGGATATAGCCCGGGATTTTCCACTTCTTTCTGCTTTCGTCCGATCTACCAAAACCCACCCACACCGACCGACCGGTGAGATACCGTCCGTGGGGACTACCACAACAAGAGGCATCCGCTACGAAATCATCACACCCCCCCACGAGATAACCGGTAACATCATCACATCAAAAC